GAGCTCACAGAGAATCGAGTGTGGGCTCGGTGATGAAAATCATACTGAACTATAGAGATGTATTTAGATAGAGGCTTCCTCAGTTTTTTCTTAATTGAAAAGCTCAAAGAAACATACAGTACAGCTTTGGGCAAGTTTTAAAGTCTTTGCTTCATGCCTGTGTTTCAGGAAATAAAAGCATTAGCTTATCACAGTAGCCAAGTTCAGGTGGGTTGACAATGCTAGTTAAATGTGGTTTTTAGTAAATAACCAGCTTAATTATCTAGTAATATATATTCCAGTTTTTATATAATGAGAGGTGAATATATTACTTTTTTTTCCTCTAAATTTTTTTGTTTTTATAAGATTTTCTGAACAGAAAACAAACTAAAGGATAAAACACCCACAGAAAACACTCTAGTTACCTTTAAAGCAGAAAATTCCTGCAGGGAGATTTCTGTTTTTCAAAGGCCATATGCTGTAAAGTGAAGCAAGCTTGTGACTGGGCGGACTGAAAGAATGCCAGCCGTGGCCCAGCCCTGGACCCCGCCTGCGGCCCGGAGCTGTAAACTCGGTGGATCTGGGGCTTGGGGTAGTTTTGTGCCACCCCTGTTTTCCAGGGAGGGAGGAAGAGGGCCGCTCTGTCTAGCGTGAGTGCCCGAAGTAATTTTGTAGTCTGCTAATGCTTTTCAGCTATGGCTTAAAACCCGATAAAAATGTTTATTTTTTCTGCTGCCAAGAGTATGGTCCACGAACGATTATAGATTGTTATTATCCTTTCAAAAAGGAGGTCTCGGGAATTGGTGGTAGTTTTGTGTGACCACACCTGTGGAGGGAGAGCAGGCAGGTGGGGGCCCGTGTCGCTGGGGGAGACCCGGCTGCCAGCAGCTCCCCGCGTGGCCCCGCGTCCGGGCTGGGAGGCAGCCGAGGGCGACAGGCGGGCCAGCGGGAGAACCAGCATGGCAACCCGGGGACAAGGGCACGGCCCTGCCAGACCTGGGCCGAGAGCAAGAGGGCATCTTCATGGGCCTCCAGGGATCGTGCCGGCCA